AGTATTAAGATTACGAATTGACTCTTTTGTCTGATTAGCATTCTTTTGCAGGGACAAATCAGAGGTTGGAAGGAAAATTTCCGCTATCGGAACCTGCGTCTTTCTGGAACAAGCCTCCGTCAGCTGGAGACGGCCCTCTTGGAACTGACATCTCAGGATTTCAAGAATTCTCATGAGTGGGAAAAGTTCCAGCTCTGGCTCCAGGAAGCCATGTATGCCGAGTGGTGGCTGGATCAAGTGGCCCGAGACCTCAAGCGACGATGGAAAAACCTGACAGTGTTCTGAGGACACGTGGAGTGGGGAGAGGTCGGAAACAGTGCAGTTTGGAGAACAATAAAGATCTGAATGCTAAAGTGTTGTTCCAGATCTTCATAACATTGTGGAAGGGTGGTGGTCATGGGCAGGTGAAAGGGATCTAGGAATCTTAGTAAACTGATTGTGTAAGTAAGCTGATTGTGAATTTGATGCGGTAGGCAGCTAAACAACCTAATGTGATGCTAGGCTCCATCAATAGGAGTAAAATATGCAAGTAAGGTGAAGTAATAGTATCACTCTATTTAGATTTGGTCAGAACTCAATTAGAATCCTGTGTTCAATTCAGGGCACCACAATTCAAGAACGATAGTGATATGCTGAAATGTGACCAGAGGATGATGAGCAAAAAGGTAAAAGGTTTGAGAAACTGATATTTTAAGCCTGAAAAAGAGAAGGTTAAGAGGGGACATGATAACCATTTTTAAATATGTGAAAGGATATCATGTTGAAGATGGGGTAGACTTGTTTTCTGCTGCTCCAGAAACAAGGACACAATGGTGCAATGGATTCAAACTGTAGAAAGAGATTCCACTTAAACATTAGGAAATACTTCCTGATGGTAAGAGCTGTTTGGCAGTGGGATTTGCTGTCTCAAAGTGTGGTGGAGTCTCATTATCTTGAGGTTTGTAAGCAGAGGCTGAATAGTCATCTCTCTGGAGAGTTTGGATTGTAAATTACTTGATGGGAGAATGAGTTTGGACTGGATGGTCCTTGGTCAGAAGAGGGTCTGTTTGCATTCATGGTT